CTATCCATGCTGCTGCTTCTCCAAGTCATTGGCTAGCTATGCAAAATTGGTTATTACAAGCAGCAAGCAACTGTCTTATCCATTGTACACAGAGACGCTGATGATATTAAGGTTGCACAGAAAGGAGATGAGACATATTCAAGTCATACACTACATATTTTTAGTCCCTTTAATGTCCTTCCTGCTTACCTATGGCTACTCTAAACTTTCTTGCTATTCAGTACAAAAACATTCTTAAATCAGCTTGCTACTGAAATTCATTAGCACTCTACTCACTTAAAAACTGCTTAATTTTAGGGCTGTGTATGCTTTGTGATTATTTTTGAACTATTCTAAAACTGAAACTTATAAGTTTAGATCTGTTAGGTATCCTGGGATACAGTATGTGTGAAAGCCATGACAAAACAAAGTTGAAATATGAGCTACTGGCTAAAGTCCAACCATCTGATGACAGAAATTCAAACTACAAAAAAACAGCCTCATTCTTTTCTTTGTTTCAACCCAAACTGGAATAATATATATTTTACTTCTGCAACATCAACATTTGTGGAAATCTGTGTGCATGAGCAAACAAAAATGAAGCCAAATTTTCTCCTGAATCTCATTTTAATATATTATAATTTTCCCTCGTGGTTATTATTTTAAAAGAAAAGCAATTATTCATTATTCTGACTTTTTATCAAAATTAGAAATGTGCTTGGCATATGAGACATTTAGTAATCATTCTGTCCATATAACAGGTCTTTCAATAATTAAAAAACAAAATTACAAAGTTAAATGCCAAAAATGTATGTAAGCAATTAGAATATATAATGATTTCCAAAGGGGGAGAAATTCCTTAAATGACCAGATAATTTTTAGTAACCTACCTAAAGTGTTGCTTCATTTTCACTGTCACACTGGAAGCAAAGTACACTTTTATTTAAAGTTACTGTTACATATTAGATTTCATCTGGGTATTAGAAATAATTTGACAGTACAAAATATTTTGCCATCATAAAAGCCAGGAATAGATCTCGCAACTCTTTTCTCTGTCTTACACACATCATCTTTAATCTCTCCTTCCACATGTCACAAAATAAGGTGTTAAAACTAATTCAAAAGATTCAAAATCTAAAAGTCAGTGCAATCAATGGTAACTGTCTGGTTTAGTGGCATTTAGTACACTCATAGTGTCATATAACTACCACCTGTACCTAATTCCAAATATTTTCATCACTTCAAAACAAAAATAAACAAAAAACACCTTGTGCCCATTAAGAGTCAGTTATTCCCCCAACCCAGCTGCTGGCAATTGACAACCTGCTTTCTATCTCTAGATTTACCTAGATATTTTATACAAATGAAATAATATGCCAATATAAAATAAAAATTTAAAAAAGCAATCATATGATAAGCGACCTTGTGTATCTGGTTTGTTGATGATTTTTATTTTTTTTTAATTTATTAAGATTTGTTTTGTAGCCTAACATATGGTCTATCTGGTCTATTCTGGAGAATGTTTGATGTATGCTTGAGAAGAAATGTATTCTGATACTCTTGAGTGAAATGTTCTACATATGTCTATTAGGTTTAGTTGGTTCATAGAGTTAAGTCCTCTGTTTCTTTAATGACCTTCTGTCTAGATGTTCTTTTCACCACTGAAACAGGGTTATGAAGTCTATAACCATTATTGTACAATGATTTCTCCCTTCAATTCTGTCAATATTTCTCTCATATATTTTGGAGTCTGTTATTTGGTGGGTGTATACATATATATTTATCACTGTTACACCTGCTTGATGAACTAACCCTTTTATATATAAAAATGCCTTTTTACATAAAAGTCCTTTGGTAAAGAATCCGCCTGCCAATGCAGGAGATGCAACACACACGTGTTCAATACCTGGGTTGGGAAGCTGCCCTGGAGTACAAAATGGCAACCCACTCCAGTATTCTTGCCTGGAAAATTCCAAGGACAGAGGAGCCTGGTGGGCTACAGTCGATGGGTTGCAAAGAGCCAGACACAACTGAGGGAGTGAGCAGGCACGCAACATTCTTCTAAAGTGAGTTTCCTGTGGACAATATATAGGTAGATCATATTTTTTATCTCCTATCAATCTCTGTCTTTTAACTGGTGAGTTTGCTTTATATTTAAATTGATTAATAAGGAAGGACCTGCTTCTTCCATCTTGTTATTTGTATGCTATATGTCATGTCTTTTTTTATCCCTTCATTTGTCTGATCTTGCCTTCTTTTGTGTTTGATTTTTAGTGTACTATTTCTATTCACTCCTCATTGCCTTTTCTGGATATTTTTTAGTGATTTTCTTAGTGGTTAACCTGAGGATTACAATTAACATCTTAAATTAATAATCTACTTTGAATCAACATTAACATATCTGTAATTGTTGTTTTACAAATTTTAAATCATATAGAGAACAAAACAGGAGTTAAAACCCCAGAAACAATACTGACTTTTCTATTTTCCTATATACCTGTACAGGTTTTTATCATTTAAAGATTTTCTTTGTATGATTTTGGTTACTATTCAATATAATTTGATTTCGGCCTAAAGGATTCCAGTTAGCATTTCTTATAGGGAATGTCTACTAGCAACAAACTTCCTCTGCTTTTACTATCTAGAAATGTCTTAATTTCTTCTTCTGGGACTCCTATTATGCATATGTTGTTACACTTGATATTGTCCCACAAGTACCTTAGGCTCTATTCATTTGTATTCATTCTTCTTGCTCTGCTCCTCAGACTGGACATCAACTGACCTATCGCCAAGATTCTGATTCTTTAATCTAGCTGCTTAAATCTATATTAGACTCTTTGAGTAAATTTTTCATTTTATCTACTTCTCAGTGCAATAATTTTTAAAATTTTGTATTTATATTTGGCTGCACCGGGTCTTTGCTGCTGAGCACAGGCTTTCTCTGGTTGCAGCAAACAAGGCTGCTCTTAGTTAAGGTACAGTGACCAGGCCTCTCCGTTGCAGCGGCTTCACCTGTTGTGGAGCACAGGCTGTAGGTGTGCAGGCCCAGTAGTTAGGACGCATGGGCTTAGGTGCCCCATGGTGTGTGGGATCTTCCCAGATCAGGGACTGAATTTGTGTCCCCTGAATTGGTAGGTGGAGTCTTAACCACTTCACCATTAAAGAAGCCCTCAGCTCAGTAATTCCTACTCAATTCCTTTTTATAATTTTAATTCTTTATGAATATTCTCTATTTATTAATACATAATACTCCCTATTTCCTACAGTCCCTTTCCTATGGTTTCCTTTAGCTCTTTGAGCATATTTAAGACAGCTGATTTAAAGTCTTTGTCTAGTAAGCACAATGCCTGGATTTCCTTGGGGATGGTTTCTATTTCTTTTTTTCCCCTCCTATTCTGATAATTGCTGATAAACCATGCAATTCTTCAAACTGAAAATTAGACATTTTTAATATTGCAATGTGGTAATTCTGGAAATCAGATTCCTTCTTTTTCCCAGGGTTTGACACTGTAACTTGCTGAGGACTATAGTCATCACTTTGTTTAGTGATTTTTCCAAACTATTGTTGCAAAGACTGTATTCTTCCTCATGTGTCATCAGTGAAGTTTCTGCTCTATTATTTAAGCAGTCATCAAGTGCCCTCACAGAATTTCCTTAAATTTTAGATGCAAAAAAATAAAAAACCAACAAACAAAACACATCCCAGCTATTTTAGTGTTTGTAGATTGGCTCTGAGCTAGGGTGCTCTTTTGATGTTTAGCTAGACTCTCCTATAACTCCGTCTTAACTTACCTCCACTTCCATGGAGCACACTATCAACAAGAAATACAAGGCCACTAAAGTCTTTTCCAAGTATGCATCAGGCCCTGAGTATCACTTTGGATTCCCTAGGCAGTAGTCTTTCAAAGCTCTTATTCCCTGAAATGTCTTTATTCTCATCCTCCTCCTTCCTAAGCTTTTTAGTCTGTCTGCTGCTGGTCCTATCTGCCGTCTCTTGGCCTGATGGGTTATAGGTGGTATACATGTCTTCACATTTTTAAAATAGATGATATCTTGAGGTGTGTGAAATGAAAGGCAAATCTTTGCACTGGTAGGTCAGTAAACTATGAGTTAAAAGGCACATTCACTTTTTAAAAAACAAAACTCTATATATTGCCCCTCACTGAATTCCCCATCACTAGTAAGCCACACTAGGAACGTAGGTTGCCATCCCCAAGACTGTTGCTAAGCTGGAAATAGTGAATGGTAGGCAGGTAAGCAAAAGGTCACAACACTTTCTTCCCAAAATTTATTGGCTTCTTTCTTCATTAAACATTACCCTGGTTGCTATAACTTTTTAAAATTAGATTTCAATGATCCAAAAAGTTGATTCTGTCCATTTTGGACAGCATAATGATTTGCTTCAGTGGAAGAACTGATTTTTTAACTGAAGAAAATGACAGAGTCATTTTCCCCACCATGTCTCCCAAAAGCATTCGCAAATTATTACCTTTAACTTATAATATTAAGCCCTTTATTTTCTTTCCTCACATCTCATTTCTTCAGGCTGGTTCATCTAGATGAGACATCCTTTCCTCTGTTCTTTAAAACTTTTATTCAAACTTAAAAGTATTCTCTAGAAACCATTCTCTAAACTTCCAGGTTGAGTTAAGTGCCCCTTACTTACACTGCCATAGCACCTGTTCTTTAACAAATCATCACATTCCTGAAATTGCCTGTTACTATCTCTGTCTATCCCACCAAACAGCAACTTGATAGCAGTCACATCCATAATACATTGCCTTCAGGAATAGTTTTATAACAAGCAATGAATCTCAACCAGAGGGGTATAATCTCCTCAACATTTCAGATTACAGGCTCCTCTTTTCTACTCCTAAAGCCTAGCATAATGCCTAACATCCAGCAGCTATACAGTGAATATACTTAATCCATGCAATTACATAGTTTAGGCGATACAGAGAAACAAAGTAGCATTTAATGAAGTAAATACCACAATCTTATTTTTCACTGTAGCAACTTACGTTCTGGTTGTTTTTCATTGGGTGTTATGGATCGCACAAAATCTTGTGGTGTCATAAACACTTCAGATTCACCATGCTCACTGATTACTTTCAAGGTGGCAAAATAGCGGAAGATTTTATCTGGTGTGGAATATGCACGAATCCTATTCTCATATTCCATCACCTAAAATTAGAAATTCAGAAAGTGTTACTGTATTAAGCAATTCTCATTTTCATGTATTTTCTCTTACTTGGGAGAAATTTTATACCATTTTTCCTATAACTGTTTTTTTTTTAATATTAGAAATTACTTGTGTCTCAAAAACCTGTGATACACTACTCATACTTCAGTTGAAGCAATGATTGTGTAAGTTTTGTTTAGAATGTTTTTTAAGTGTTTTTTTTAGTTGGAGGATGATTGCCTTACAATGTTGGCTGGTTTCTGCTGTGCAGCATCACAAATCAGTCATAACTCTCTCTCTCCATATATATATGTATATGTATACTCCCTCCCTTTCTAAGCAATTTTATTTTATTTAAATTTTGGCTGTATTGGGTCTTAATTACTGCATGAGAGCTTTCTCTAGTTGCTACCAGTGAAGGTACTCTAAGCTCTAGGGTGTGCTGGCTAAGTAGTTGTAAGCCCACAGGCTTAGTTGCCCTAAGGTATCTGGAATATTTCTGGACCAGGGATTGACCAGTGTCCCCTGTAATCCAAGGTGGATTCTTAACCACTGGGCAACCAGGGAAGCCTTAGAAGTTTTTGAATAATTTCCTAAATCACTGAAAGCAAGCAAAAGAAAAATGTCATACAAGAATTCAAAAAGTCTCAGTCAAAAAGTCTCAATCAAAGGCTCCATTCACATGAGAGCCTATCATTTTTTAAATAACAAGTTTTCTGGAAGGGATTGATTTTACAGTTTTACTTTAATGCAATTTCCTGAATTCTAAAACAAAACAGACAAGGGACTTTCACAGATCTGAACAACTCTTTCAAATACAAAGGACATTAAACAACAGCATAAAAAATAAAATTACATATCATGGAAACTCAATTATTAACACATCTGAAGCAAAGACTTTTACTCTGGACTGAAACATTATAGGCTTCCAGAGAACATTTAAATATAGCATATTTAGAAAAGAGTAGACGTGGGAAGAACACAAGAAAATATTTGAATAGGAACAAAATTATATATGGCATACATTTAACTGAAAGAGTATAACATTAACATAAAATCTAATATAAAAGTTAATATAACGTTAATATAAAAGTCCATTTCCTTATCTAGCACCCAAGACCCCATCTGACCATGAAACATACAAAAATACTGTTATCTTTTGCATAATATTCTTGTACAACCTATATCGTACTTTGGTGAAAAGATTTCTCTCATACCTGAATTTTTATGTTGCAATAACCAATACTAAATAGTATCTTATAAATAACTGGCTAGAAAATATGTCAAGGCAATATGATCTAAAAATCCGTATTATAAGGCAATTATCCTTCAAATAAAAATTTTAAAAATCTATCAGTGAACTCAATGTCTATAAAAAACATTATTCAATGTCTATATTTTTAAAAAATTATTAATGTTTTAATTTGCTTTAATAACACAGCTATTACTGTAACTGTCATTTCTGGCTAGATGGTCACTTTGAGGTCACCAATAGCAGTTGGTTAACAATGGGCTCAATTCTATTACCAGATGTGCTTTCAGTCACCAAGAAAGGAATGCTAATTCGTAACTATACATAACAGGAATCTTTCTAAAGCTAATTTGCATTGAAGTCTGAATACTGATTTCAGAAAATTTTTCAATAGATTTGGCACATGGCAGACACACTAAGCATTTCCTTAGCAGCCTTTCAACACCTTAGTAGCCTTGAAACTTAGCTACAAGTCTTAAACCAAAGGCATTTTATATTTTACTATACATGCTGGGTCATACCAGGTACAAAACAAAAATAATCAGTTTGCAATATTTAGGGTATAAGCTACAGCTAATGCCAAAGATGGCTTTGTCAACTAAAATGTTAAGTCAATCATATGTAAGATAAAGGCAGAAAAAGAACAACTTAAAAAGTCAATGATTTACAGACTGAAAATCAGATCCTTCACTGCTACCCAAAAAATACACTGCTGAATATTATTAGTTTTAGTTTGAAATAATAGGTAAAGTAACAGACTTTCTGCATTTCCATATTTTTAGAGTTTAATAGAGATATACTGTATAGTATATTTTTGTTTCTTTCACTTAGCAATCTAGTTTTTTTAAAAGTCTTTATTGAATTTGTTATAATATTGTTTCTTCTCCAAAAGGCATGTGAAAAGATGCTCAACACCACTAAGTATCAGAGAAATGCAAACTAAAACTATAATGAGGGCCTGACACCAGTCAAGATGGTCATCATCAAAAAGTCCACAAACAATAAATGCTGGAGAGGGTGTGGTAAAAGGGAATCCTCCCACACTGTTGATAGGATGTAAATTGGTACAGCTACTACAGAGAACAAGATGGAGGTCCCTTAAAAAACTAAAAACAGAACTACCACATGATCCAGCAATCCCACTCCTGAGCATATATCTGGAGAAAAACATTGTTTGGAAAAAATCCATGTATCCCAGTGTTCAATGCAGCACTGTTTATAATAGCCAAGAGATGGAAGCAAACTAAATATCTATTGACAGATGAATGGATAAAGAAGATGTGGTACATATACTCAAGAGAATATTACTCAGCCATTAAAAAGAAGGACCTGGAATTTATCACATGAAGTAAAGTAAGTCAGAAGGACAAATATATGATATTGGCTTATGTATGAATCTAAGTAAATGATACAAATGAACTTATTTACAAAATAGAAACAGACTCATAGACTTAAGAGAACAAACTCATGGTGAGGGGAGGGACAGACTCGGAGTTTGGGACTGACATGTATACACTGCTATATTTTAAATAGATAATGAACAAGGAATACTGTATAGCACAGGGAATTCTGCTCAATATTCTATAATAACCTAAATGGAAAAAGAATTTGAGATAGACACTTGCAAGTGTACAAGTGAATCACAGTGCTGTACACCTGAAATTAACATAATACTGCTAATTAACTCTACTCCAATATAAAATAAATTGTTTTTTTAAAGAAGAGAGATAACAGTATTGGTGAGGGTATCGAGAAAAGCTGACACTTCTGCACTGCTGGTGGAAATGTTAAATTGATTTAGTCACTATGGAAAACAGTATGGAGGTTCCTCAAGAAATTAAAAATAGAACTATCATATGATCCAATAATCCAGCTTTTGGGTATATAGCCAGAGGAAATGAAATCAGCATCTCAAAGCGCTATCTGTCCTCCATGTTCATTGCAGCTTTGTTCACGATAGCCAAGGTATAGAAAAAATCTATGTGCCCATCATGGAATCTCAAGGAACTCCAAAGAACCAACATAATTTTGAAAGAACAAAATTGGAGGACTCTAACTTTCTGATTTCAAAACTTATTATAGTCATAAGAAGAATGTGGTATTGGCATAAAGATAGGCATATACACCAAACAAAGAGAAAAGAAAGCCCAGAAATAAACCCTCATATATATCAACAAATGATTTTTGATAAGGGTGCCAAAATCATTCAGTGGAGAAAGGACAGTCTTTTTGACAAATAGTGTTGGGAAAACAGGATATCCACATACAAAAAAATGAAGTTGGGGGCTTCCCTGGTGGTACAATGGTTAAGACTTCCAATTCCACTGCAGTGGGCATGGGTCTGATCCCTAGTCAGGGAAGTTCTGTATGCTGGGAGATGCAGTCAAAAAAGAAAAAAACAAAACTTTAAAAAAAGATGAAGTTGCACCCTTATCTAACTCCATATTAAAAAATTAACACACAGTGAATCAAAGACCAAAATGAAAGATCTAAAACTAGAAAACTCTTAGAAGAAAACATAGAACAAAAGCTTCAAGACACTAGACTTAGCAGTGCTTTCCTGGATGTGATGCCAAAAGCATATGCAACAATAGAAAAAAAAGAAAGACTTCATGGGTGTAGCTATGGCTGATTATTGTTGATGTTTGGCAGAAAACCACAAAATTCTGTAAAGCAATTATCCTTCAATTAAAAAAATTAAGTGGCAAAAAAAAAAACAAACCACCATATATAAGTTACAAAACACCTGTTGTACATCAAACAATAATATCAATAGAGTAAAAAGGTAATCCGCAGGACTTAGCAATCAGATCATATAAAAAAATACTAAAACTCCATTAAAGAAAATTTTAAAATGGGCAAAAGATGTGAACAGACATTTCTCCAAAGATATACAAATGGCCAAAAAGCACTTGAAAAAATGCTCAACATCATTGATCATCAGTGAAATACAAATGAAAACTACACCAATATACTACCTCACACCCATTAGGATGGCTAATATCAAAAAAACAAAAAAATAACTAGTGTTAGCAAAGATGTGGTAAAAGAGGAACCCTTGCTGGTGGGAACGTCAAATGGTGCAGCACTGCCAAAAACAGTGCTTCCATAAAAACAAGCACTTCCATCAAAAAAAAAAACCAAAAAACTGAAAATAGAATTACCATATGATGTGCTCGCTTCGGCAGCACATATACTAAAAATTTGGAACGATACAGAGATTAGCATGGCCCCTGCGCAAGGATGACACGCCAATTTGTGAAGCGTTCCATATTTTTTAATGGCTATACTACCCAAAGCAATCTATAGATTCAATGCAATCCCTATCAAGCTACCAACGGTATTTTTCACAGAACTAGAACAAATAATTTCACAATTTGTATGGAAATACAAAAAAACCTCGAATAGCCAAAGTAATCTTGAGAAAGAAGAATGGAACTGGAGGAATCAACCTGCCTGACTTCAGACTCTACTACAAAGCCACAGTCATCAAGACAGTATGGTACTGGCACAAAGACAGAAATATAGATCAATGGAACAGAATAGAAAGCCCAGAGATAAATCCACGAACCTATGGTCACCTTATCTTCGACAAAGGAGGCAAGGATATACAATGGAAAAAAGACAACCTCTTTAACAAGTGGTGCTGGGAAAACTGGTCAACCACCTGTAAAAGAATGAAACTAGAACACTTTCTAACACCATACACAAAAATAAACTCAAAATGGATTAAAGATCTAAATGTAAGAC